ATTCATTTACAATTCATTAATTAAAAGTTACAGATTAACCATATATTCTCAAATGTTTCTGATTTCACTCCGAACTCGTGTAGAATGTGATGCGATCATATCATGATCTATTTTGTGCCCTTGAAAGCGTATAATATCTCGTTGGAAAGATCTGACCGAGTTCTAAAACTTGTCTTCAGGCTCTGGTTTCAGAATATCAAGGGATGATTGCCTAGTTACTAAACTACACTGTATTTACGCTAAAAGTGCTCTATTTTCGCTGAAAACGCTAAATCATAGAGATAAGGCTAAGTATTTGTGACACTCATATCTTGCTGTGTGTTTATCCATTTGGAGCGTATTATATCTCGTTGGAAAGATAGATCGGGGCTCTGAAGCTATTGTTCCAACTTCATTCACAATTCATTAATTAAAAGTTACAGATTAACCATATATTCACAAATGTTTCTGATTTCACTCCGAACTCGTGTAGAATTTGATGCGATCATATCTTGCTCTATTTTGTGCCGTTGAAAGCGTTTAATATCTCGTTGGAAAGATCTTACCGAGTTCTAAAACTTGTATTCAGGCGCTGGTTTTAAAATATCAAGGAATGATTTCCTCATTACTAAAATACACTGTATTTACGCTATAAGTGCTCTATTTTCGCTGAAAACGCCTAATCGTAGAGATAAGGCTAAGTATTTGTGACACTCATATCTTGCTGTGTGTTTATCCGTTTGGAGCGTATTTAATCTCATTGGAAAGATAGATCGGATCTCTAAAGCTATTGTTCAACCTTCATTTACAATGCATTAATTAAAAGTTACAGATTAACCATATATTCTCAAATGTTTCTGATTTCACTCCGAACTCGTGTAGAATTCGATGCGATCATATATTGCTCTATTTTGTGCCGTTGAAAGCATTTAATATCTCGTTGGAAAGATCTTACCGAGTTCTAAAACTTGTCTTCAGGCGCTGGTTTCAATTTTTTGGATAAAGGGTAATTATATATATCATCCAAAAGAGTTTCTGTACAAGTAAGGCAAAAAAGTGGGGGACAAAAATGGGGCTATCCCAACATGGGATATACCATAGACCTGTGGGCTATACAATCAGTCCCAAATCACACAAAAAAGGCATGTAGCCGCACCCTATAAAATTTCAAAACGTAATAAGCTCATGAGGGTAAATACTATAGAGGATCTTATACACCATGTATTGGATCCTGGCAAAAACGTCTTCCTCTTGGGTCTTCTTATCATCAAATCTGGTGGCATTCCGAACTCTCCATAACCAGTATATAGTATAGATGAATGCAATTCTGACTGCCTTGGCCTTGATCCCCGCACCTGCATGCTCCTTCCTAATCCACTTAACTGAGCTTTCCAGAGTAGACATCTGTCTAGGTATTCCAATCCATGCTCTTACTTTGCTCCAAACTGTGCCTGTAAATTGACAACCAAAGAAAAGGTGTGGCACCGTCTCCGGTTCACCCTTGCAAAATGGACAAATGTTAATCACATCAAGCCTACTAAGATTATCATACGTTGCAAGGCGATTGCGGAAGGCAAGCCATGCAATGAATGAGAACTTAGGAGGTATGTAAGCTTTCCAAATAAAGGGCATCCACACCTGTTTAGTGCCCTTAACTCGAATCAAGTCATACACATTTGAAGAGCACAATTTCCCATTTGTAACCATTTTAGAGAGGGCTGCTATTGTGGTCTCAATGGAGTCATATTTTGAGACAAGGATGTCTCGGATCAGCCCTAGCTTCTTAGTAAGCTGGGAGTCCCTAGTGTGTGGGGAAAATTCCCACACACATCTACCTTTAAGATAGACTCCATGCACCCATTTCACCCAAAGTGTGTCTCGTTTAAGGTGAATATCCCAAAGGGTCTTAGAGAGTAAAGCATTATTCCAAGTTTTAGTATGTCTTATACCCAAACCCCCCTCCTCCTTTGGGAGACACATATCTGCCCAAGCAACTCTGGCAAATTTGCATCCCCAAAAGAAAATACGACAAATTGAGACCACTCTATCAAGGATGGTTTGTGGTATAGGAAACACCTGTAACCAAAAAGAATGTACTCCCTGAATAACAGATTTAATCAATTCAGTTCTACCAGCATATGACAATGTCTTGGTGTTCCAAGAGCTGAGATAATCAGAGATCTTTTCCAAAAGGGGGGCATATTCAGCTATAGCTAGTTTAAGGGGGGAGAGGGGAATGCCGAGGTACTTGACAGGGAAGGCTCCAACTTTGAAGTCCACCAAGTCAAGTATGGCCGTAAGGTCATGGTCTCTAATACCTCCCAAGAAAATATTAGATTTGTCAAAGTTAACTCTTAACCCTGATACCTCCCCAAACTCATTCAATGCATCAATCAAAACTTTAACAGAATATGTATCACCTCTACAAAACAACATAAGGTCATCAGCATAGGCAAGATGTGAAATCTTTAAGCTACCACACTTGGGATGAAAGTTAAAATCAGATGTAGTTCTCAAGTTTAACAACCTTGACAAATATTCCAAACATAAAACAAATAGGAGTGGGGACATAGGATCACCTTGTCTTAATCCCCTCTTAACTCTAAAGAAACCATGTAATGTTCCATTAATGGAGATAGAAAAGGAAGCAGTGGAGACACATTCCATAATCCATTTAACAAATTGTAAAGGAAAACCAATGTTAAGGAGTACACTATAAAGAAAGTCCCAAGAAATGGTGTCATAGGCTTTCCTGAGGTCCACCTTAATCATACACCTGGGGGAGCAATGCTTCCTAGTGTACCCCTTTACCAATTCCTGTGCAAGGAAAATGCTATCCATCATAAGCCTCCCATCTACAAAAGCCCCCTGGGCATGGTCAATTAGCCCCGGTAAACATGGAATCATTCTATTAGCAATGACTTTAGTAATGACCTTATAAAGAACATTTGTACATGCAATTGGTCTAAAATCAGCAGCTGTGGGGGAGTGTGAGGTTTTAGGGATTAAAGCAATAATCGTGTGATTGATTTGCTTTAATAACCTGCCAGACTCAAAGAAGCCCCTCACGGCCTCAACCACATCTTCCCCAACAATTGACCAATTTTCTTTAAAAAAGGCAGAGGTAAAACCATCCGGCCCCGGGGCCTTGTCATCCCCAATATCAAACATAGCATTTTTAATCTCAATGTCTAAAACGGGGGAAATCAGCCCTAAAGCTTGGTCCGTACCTAGACATGTCCCGGATGTAATTATGCTAGGCTCAATTGGAGGACAACTTACCGGGGTTCCAAACAAATTGACATAAAAATTCTCAAATTCCTTTGCAACTTGATCCATAGAGGTAGTTAGTTCCCCATTGGCTAGTTTTAAAGCCGTAATGGAATTCTTGGCAGCCCTCTTCTTCACAATAAAGTGGAAGTATTTGGTACATCTATCCCCTTGGATCAAATGAATAGCCTTCGCTTTTTGCCTATAAAAAGCATCCTCGGCCATTTTAAGAAAAAGCACTCTCTTCTTAGCTACTTGGACATCATTCTTTAAGGTATCATCCAAAGGGGAAAGTAAGAGAAGACTATGTAATCTCTTAAATTCTTTCTTTGAGTCCTTTACCTTAGAAGAAATATGATCAAAAGCATTCTTGTTAAGTTCCTTGAGTGGTTTCTTAAGAGCTTGGAGTTTCTTAACTAACCGAAATTGAGCATTGCCCATTACATACATAAACCAATTCTCATGAAGTATAGAGGGAAAAGACTCATGTTTAAGCCACATGTTGAAAAATTTGAAGGGTTTTGACCCCAAGGGGGGGTTATGGCCGAAAGTAACCAATGGTGCAACATGGTCACATTCCACCTCCATATCATGAAAATGTGTTTTGCAAGTGATACCATTAGTATTCCAAAAAGAATTCATTAAAACTCTATCCAACTTAGCCCAAAGTGAACCCCTATTCCAAGTGAAAAATTCACCGGTGGAAGGAGTGTCAACAAGGTTTGCATTAAGCTTGAAGTCAACTAAGTCTTGTAAGTAATAAGCCGAGGGTGGTGTGGGGCCAATCCTTTCACTAGGGGAAGAAACACAATTGAAATCCCCCATAACTAGCCAAGGACTACTTATGGTAGATCCCAAATTGGTAACGTGATCCCAAAGGGTTCTCCTCACCCCCACCGAGAACAAGGCATAAACAAAAGTAACCATAAAATTCAATTGAGTAGTCTTACACACACATTTGCAATGAATATGTTGTTTGTCAATTTCAAGCACATCTATGTCAACATAGTTCGTATTCCACATAAGGGCCATGCGGCCACCATCTATAGTATCAAAATTTGTAATAGAAGACCATAGTGGCCATCTATTTTCCTTAAGTTTTTCAAAATTAGAAGTAGACATTTTAGTTTCAAGCAAACAACACATATGTACATTATGAGCACGAATAAAATTAAAGATAAGAGATTGTTTTGAGACCTTATTAAGGCCTCTTATGTTCCATGCCGTAATGATCATTAAACAATTGAGTTGGTTCCCCCATCATCCTTGATCCTCTTTTTCCTTCCTTGCCATGGCCTTTTCTTCCATGTGTTACCTTGAAGGCCATTTTCGCTAAAATACCTACCAAGAAAAAGATGATGAATATTACGCATAAAGAAAGCATCAAAAGCATACCCGTCCTCTATTTGGATGACCCCAGGCAGCCCCTCTAGGCAAGCTTTAGTGAATGTAATCCCCGGTGCATCCAAGTCATCGGTGATTGAGAGGCAATTATCAAGTCTCACAAGCTTTTCCCCCGGCTTCATGGTTAGTTCTAGCTCATTCATGTGGGCCATGTGAAGATTGGGAGGCTTCCCTTCAATGAAATCTACTTGAATGACCACATCATCATGGTAGCTATCTCGGATATCATTGATAATTCTTACTTCCAAATCAACATCCTCCTTCTCTTCCTTTGATGTCCCTTGCTCCTCTTCTTTGTTAGCCATGATTTTGTCAAGCTCATCCACTAGTTCTTCTTCTTTTTGTTCTTCCCTTTCAATGTTAGGTGTAGCCAAGATCAAGGCAAGGGGGTTTTCTTCTAAGATTGTGGCTTCCTCTTCAATGATCTCCCCCTCTTCTCTTTCCAAACTTTCTGCCACGGGCTGGTCATGGCTGCTCTTGGTGGTCTCGGCCTTTGGATGCTCCTCATGATAGCATCTATTATTAGCTTTGATAGTATAGATTTGCCTTCTTTGTTCTTCTATTTGAAATGTAGTGTTTTTCCTTGGTTCTTGGGGGGGTACTTCTTCTCCTCTTTCTTTCCTTTCCAAGTCATGGAGTGTTTTACATGTGAAGGGGTGATGGTCGAACATCTTGCAATGAAAACAATAGTTTGGAAAGGTCTCATACACTACGCCTTGGCTATAGATCTCCCCGGATGGAAGTTTGACATCAAATTGGAGTGGAGGGGGCTTGGCCGCATCTACTTCAATTAGAACACGAGCATATGAAGATCTAGCTTTCTCTTGTGTCACCCTATCCGTAGCCAATGGTTTACCCACTCTAGAAGCCACGGCACTTAGGATATCCTCTCTCCAATCCCTCATGGGCAGCCCATGAAATTTGACCCATATAGGCACTTTGAGGAATTCATCACTATGTGTTGAGAAGTTATCATCAAGGACTTTCAAGTAGCACATTTTCCCATAGATGGAATGAGGTCCATCTAGAAGGACTTGATCCCTATCCGCCTCCCTTTGGAACTTGAAGATAATCCATCCTTTGCTATGTGGTCTAGCTTTGCAAGGAACCCCCCATTTTTGGATCATAGTGTTGACTGCCCTAGGTCCGGGAAACACCCCTACAAAGTAGCCAACCAAACAGTACCCCCATAGCTCCACCATGGAGGGAAGTGTGTAGTTAGAAAGGTCAACCATATCTCCGGTAGGTGGGATGTAAGTAAGTTTCATTCCTTGGGATGGTTCCCTATTATTAGTAAATAAGGAGGACCATGGTTTAGAGGCAGCTTGGACAGTTTGTTTGGTGCCTTGAGAGGTAGAAGCATCTCCATTAGTACTCCATTTCTTGGTCCTATTTATGGCCTTAAGATAGACATCATCTTCACATGGTTCCTTTTCAACCTCAACGTTTTTTTCTTTTTCAATTGCCCTATCTTGCTCCAAATCCGAGGATGTGGTCTCATTAATGGGTGTAGGAGTAACCACATTAATGGGGCTAACAACCCCCAAAGGTTGGTCATCAAAACCCCCCTCCAAAACAGCCTCCAAAACAGCCTCCACACTAGCATTTGTAGTCTTCACTATCTCGGCCAAACAGCCCTCATTTTGCACAATTTCTTCATTAATGGATTGGTGAGTGACCTCTTTAATGTTTCCAACAGCCAAAATAACTATTTCATTCTGTAAGACAGACCCCCCACCAACTTTTTCCAACGCTAATACATCATCATTTTCGCACACAATATTGGTGTCCAAAGAAGTTACCTTTATGTTGTTGTTTGTGTTGTCATTTGCCACATCTTGGGTATTTGGTTGCTTAGTGTTTCTGGCCCCCTTGTTTTTGGTATTTTCTGGCCTCAACTCAATGGTAACCTCCTCGTCTCCTTCGGTAGAGGCTATGTTCTTCTCCATTTCATCCAACATCTTAGTTTCCATGTGTTGAGCTTGGAGTTTCTTAACTGACTTCAATTTGTTTTTCCCAGTCATAGGAGCGATTGGAGACACTGCCTTGGCAAGCTTCCGAGTGTTGACCATAGCTAGGAGGTGTGTCCCAAGCTATCCAAGGTCAAGGTGAGCATCCAAGGACGTTGTAAGCACAAAACGCCTCCAAGAGTCCTTCAAAGACCAAGTTTGTTTTCTTTTTTTTCTTCTTTGAGCTTGTTGTCCGTACTAATGGAGTAAATGTCAGTACAAACGGTCACAATGTTGATTGTACGGATAGGGGGGATGAAGCTAAGATTAGAGTATGTGGTGCGCCAAGGAGAGGCGATTCTCACCCCATATCCAGAATCATCTTAGCTCAAAAGGAGGATTTGGGATCTAAGAAAGAGTTTTTCGTGTATGAATAGTGTTTGTGCGAAAAATGTTGCTCCAGCCCTCCAAAGACTTCAGGTTTTGAGCTAAAAAATTAAAGATAATACACCCCTAAGGGAAGGAAGATGTATTACAGTTAATGTTCGAGCTCAAACACCCAAAAATCCAAGGAAGAAAACAAGAACGAACAAAAAACGCAAAGGGGAAGAAGAAGTGTACGGATTTCGTAGAGAGAAGCTGGAGCTAACGGAAAAAAATCAAGTTCAGGCGCTTCAGGCGCTGGTTTCAAAATATCAAGGGATGATTGCCTAATTACTAAAGTACACTGTATTTTCGCTAAAAGTGCTCTATTTTCGCTGAAAACGCTAAATCATAGAGATAAGGCTAAGTATTTGTGACACTCATATCTTTTTGTGTGTTTATCCGTTTGGAGCGTATTATATCTCGTTGGAAAGATAGATCTGAGATCTAAAGATATTGTTCCAGCTTCATTTACAATGCATTATTTAAAAGATACAGATTAACCATATATTCACAAATGTTTCTGATTTCACTCCGAACTCGTCTCGAATGTGATGCGATCATATCATGCTCTATTTTGTACCGTTGAAAGCGTTTAATATCTCGTTCGAAAGATCTTACCGAGTTCTAAAACTTGTCTTCAGGCTCTGGTTTCAGAATATCAAGGGATGATTGTCTAATTACTAAAATACACTATATTCACGCTAAAAGTGCTCTATTTTCGCTGAAAACGCTAAATCATAGAGATAATGCCAAGTATTTGTGACACTCATATCTTGTTGTGTGTTTAACCATTTGGAGCGTATTATATCTCGTTGGAAAGATAGATCGGAGCTAATAATAATAATAATAATAATAATAATAATAATCATAATCATAATAATAATAATAATAATAATAATAATAATAATAATAATAATAATGATAATAATAATAATAAGAATAATAATAATAATAATATTAATAATAATAGTATCAAAAATAGTAATACACTGTATTTACGCTAAAAGTCCTCTATTTTCGCTGAAAACGCTAAATCATTGAGATTGTTGTGTGTTTATCCGTTTGGAGCATATTATATCTCGTTGGAAAGATAGATCAGAGCTCTAAAGCTATTGTTCCAACTTCATTTACAATGCATTAATTAAAAGTTACAGATTAACCATATATTCACAAATGTTTCTGATTTCACTCTGAACTCGTGTAGAATTTGATGCGATCACATCTTGCTCTTTGTTGTGCCATTGAAAGCGTTTAATATCTCGTTTGAAAGATCATACCGAGTTCTAAAACTTGTCTTCAGGCGCTGGTTTCAAAAAATCAAGGGATTATTTCCTAATTACTAAAATACACTGTATTTACGCTAAAAGTGCTCTATTTTAGCTGAAAACGCTAAATCATAGAGATAAGGCTAAGCATTTGGGACACTCATATCCTGCTGTGTGTTTATCCGTTTGGGGCGTATTATATCTCGTTGGAAAGATAGATCGGAGCTCTAAAGCTATTGTTCCAACTTCATTTACAATGCATTAATTACAAGTTACAAATTAACCATATATAAACAAATGTTTCTGATTTCACTCCGAACTCGTGTAGAATTTGATGCGATCATATCTTGCTCTATTTTGTGTCGTTGAAATTGTTTAATATCTCGTTGGAAAGATCTTACCGAGATCTAAAACTTGTTTTCAGGCGCTGGTTTCAGAATATCAAGGGATGATTGCCTAATTACTAAAATACACTGTATTTACGCTAACAGTGCTCTATTTTCTCTGAAAACGCTAAATCATAGAGATAAGGCTAAGTATTTGTGACACTCATATCTTGCCGTGTGTTTATCCGTTTGGAGCGTATTATATCTCGTTGAAAAGATAGATCGGAGCTCTAAAGCTATTGTTCCAACTTCATTTACAATGCATTAATCAAAAGTTACAGATTAACCATATATTCACAAATGTTTCTGATTTCACTCCGAACTCGTGTAGATTTGATGCGATCATATCTTGCTCTATTTTGTGCCATTAAAAGCGTTTAATATCTCGTTGGAAAGATCTTACCATTTTCTAAAACTTGTCTTCAGGCGCTGGTTTCAAAATATCAAGGGATGATTGCCCAATTACTAAAATACACTGTATTTACGCTAAAAGTGCTCTATTTTCTCTGAAAACGCTAAATCATAGAGATAAGGCTAAGTATTTGTGACACTCATATCTTGCTGTGTGTTTAACCGTTTGGAGCGTATTATATCTCGTTGGAAAGATAGATCGGAGATAATAATAATAATAATAATAATAATAATAATAATAATAATAATAATAATAATAATAATAATAATAATAATCATAATCATAATAATAATAATAATAATAATAATAATTATAATAATAATAATAATAATAATAATAATAAGAATAATAATAATAGTAGTAATAATAATAGTATCAAAAATAGTAATACACTGTATTTACGCTAAAAGTGCTCTATTTTCGCTTAAAACGCTAAATCATAGAGATTGTTGTGCGTTTATCCGTTTGGAGCGTATTATATCTTGTTGGAAAGATAGATCGGATCTCTAAAGCTATTGTTCCAACTTCATTTACAATGCATTAATTAAAAGTTACAGATTAACCATATATTCACAAATGTTTCTGATTTCACTGTGAACTCGTGTAGAATTTGATGCGATCACATCTTGCTCTTTGTTGTACCATTGAAAGCGTTTAATATCTCGTTTGAAAGATCATACCGAGTTCTAAAACTTGTCTTCAGGCGCTGGTTTCAAAAAATCAAGGGATTATTTCCTAATTACTAAAATACACTGTATTTACGCAAAAAGTGCTCTATTTTAGCTGAAAACGCTAAATCATAGAGATAAGGCTAAGTATTTGTGACACTCATATCCTGCTGTGTGTTTATCCGTTTGGGGCGTATTATATCTCGTTGGAAAGATAGATCGGAGCTCTAAAGCTATTGTTCCAATTTCATTTACAATGCATTAATTAAAAGTTACAAATTAACCATTAATAAACAAATGTTTCTGATTTCACTCCGAACTCGTGTAGAATTTGATGCGATCATATCTTGCTCTAGTTTGTGTCGTTGAAATTGTTTAATATCTCGTTGGAAAGATCTTACCGACATCTAAAACTTGTTTTCAGGCGCTGGTTTCAGAATATCAAGGGATGATTGCCTAATTACTAAAATACACTGTATTTACGCTAAAAGTGCTCTATTTTCTCTGAAAACGCTAAATCATAGAGATAAGGCTAAGTATTTGTGACACTCATATCTTGCTGTGTGTTTATCCGTTTGGAGCGTATTATATCTCATTGAAAAGATAGATCGGAGCTCTAAAGCTATTGTTCCAACTTCATTTACAATGCATTAATTAAAAGTTACAGATTAACCAAATATTCACAAATGTTTCTGATTTCACTCCGAACTCGTGTAGATTTGATGCGATCATATCTTGCTCTATTTTGTGCCATTGAAAGCGTTTAATATCTCGTTGGAAAGATCTTACCATTTTCTAAAACTTTTCTTCAGGAGCTGGTTCCAAAATATCAAGGGATGATTTCCCAATTACTAAAATACACTTTATTTACGCTAAAAGTGCTCTATTTTCTCTGAAAACGCTAAATCATAGAGATAAGGCTAAGTATTTGTGACACTCATATCATGCTG